AGGAAAGAGTGAGTATAATGCAGGTGATGGATATTTTTAACTTGCCACCATCTAAGTGGGAGGGGTTACTAACAAGCAAATCTGCATGTTAATAACCCAAAACATGGTCATGGTCATCTGTCTATGCAATTATGGGATCAGAAACTCACAAATGTACCTTTTGGCAGTACGGCAGACTTCATCCACCCACTTCCCTTGTGAGGACTGAGAAAGAAAGACACAGTTCTCACGCTTCCCCCCGTTTGGCTGGGCACGGTCCCAGTTGAGGTACTGTAGAGCCATGCCATTGACATCAACAAACTTCCCTTCATTGACCAGGTCGTTAATGCCCAACCAAAACTCAGACACTCTGGGCATACTTTTCTTGCCATACTCTCGAAGAGTGTTTGTTTCATCGTTACTCCTCGGGATAGCCAGCGTCCCTCCCTTGGCTATGCAGTCTTCATTGGCTTCATGAAAGTGTTTGGTGCCTTCTGATATGAGGTAGCACTTCTTATGGGCCTTTGTCCCACGAAGACAGACTGTGGATAGATATTTGTGTGCATGCTCAGTAAAATATTGAACTATAGCTTTGAACAGTGTTTACTAAAATGATAATTTTCTAAAGGTATGTTGGGAATTAAGCAGACAAGTCTCTCACAAGTGAAAGGCTCTTGTCTCCACAGAGTGGGCCTCAAAGTAGCAGTAAGGTCAGACTTTGCTGCTCTTTGTCCTGCTCATGTAGGACCCTGTATACAGGAACAGACTGCTCACAGGCACTTGGCAAAGCACCTAGGACTGCAAGGGTTGGCCAAAAATGGAGTATGCTCTTACAGCTGCTCCAGAGAAGAGGCACTTAAGAGAAAGGGCAGACATACCTGTGATCTTAACACCATGAAGTGCTTTGGGGAATCTTCCCTGTGTTTACGCTAATAAACCTCAGGCATGATCCTGAGCCCCAGTTTCCCTCCAGCAATGTAATTCTTCCCAGTTTTTTTGTTTGTTTGTTTTGCTGTTTCAAAACACTAAAATATAACCTACACATATTGTAAGTGTATCTTATGTCTTCTTTCAGCAAATAGTCCTGCTTTCACACATTTTTACCTTATTTTGTCAGTCTTAAAACTGATAGAGTGGATGAGGTATGGATGTTTGTATTGTTCAGAGGTGAATAATCAGGATATCTATAGTTGGCTTTATAGTAAAGAGACCCATCTAAAGCTCCTTTCATATTTATGATATTTAAGTGCCAAAGAAAAGTAAAGTTTTATGTATTAACTAAGCCTAGTTCCTAGCAAACAAAGGCAGAAGAGAAGTACTATTTCAAATGTGTCATCCTTACCAGGAAAACATTGATTCAAATTTCATAATGCAAATCTCTGTCTGGATGATTGACAAAATTATATTTCCACCTGCAGAAGAGTACATATTGGTCCCCTTAGCTCATAATTCCTGGTCTTTCCAGTAAAGTCTATCCCTTAAAACTCTTAATTCAAATGGGCTGGTGACTTAAACCTATAAAAACTTTTCTAGAGCATGCATTTATTCTGAGCTTGCATGACAATCTGAATCAAATCTAAACATTTACATTTATAAATCTGCTTGCTTTTAATTTTACTGGAAAATATCAGGATGCAGAGTCAAAAAAATACTGAGACATGAGTTTGGCATATGCTCTGCAACTGGAAATGCCTTGCAGAATGGCTGTCAGAGCTCTTCCAGCCCGAGCTCTGTGTGCAGGAGTGACTCTGTAAGCTTTGCTTTCCAGCTTTCCTAAGGCAGATATGTGAAAAACTGATTCCCCCAAGAAAAGTACTTACAAGAAGAGAACCCTCCTTAGAGGAATGTTGCTTCTGAGGTGAGCAAGGTTGCCAAGGCCTTGAATGAACTCCTGTAACAATTATTTTTAGAATCCTGCATGTGACTACTTCCAGGTTATTTCCTTTATTGCCTAAACTCATCTTGTACTTATATTGGAAGCACATTGTGAAACAATATGATCACCTTCTGTCCTGATGTTTTCTATAATCTGTTTATAATGCCTGTCATCTGTTCTTGTAAAAAAGCAATTATGTATCTCATCTGCAGGATGTAGAACTCTGGGCCATATCCTCTGTCTCAGGTTTTTAGTATTTCCAGTTGCAGTATTCATTGCATTCCTTAGCTGCATTTTCAGGTTCATCATTTTATATTGGGACTTACCTTCAGATTGGATCCTTTCCAGCTGCTAAAGTCCAAATTAAAGGAATGAACACATCTGACAAATGTTGAAAGTTTTAACAAATTTGTATTCATGGAGAAGATGAGAGACCTTATCTACTTAACAATGCTGCAGTAATGATGGAGACTTTCTTTAGGGAGAAGGTATGTGCTGCTAAATGGTGTGTGGCAACCTTTCATGGTATGTAGAAAGGAGACCTCTGAAATCCAAGCAAAAGAAGAAATTGGATTGTAATGTGTATGTTGGAAATTTCCATAAGCTAAAAAAGCAGCTGCTTTTTCAGGTATCATAAGGCCATTAATAAACAGTCAGAGCTGGAGGGGTGATAGAACTTTTTGCCAAATTTGGAGTCCAGTTGAACAGTGTGGGTTCTGAATTTAGAATATAGCTCAAAATAAGTTTTCAGGACAGAAAATCTCCTGGCTCTGGTTTCATTTCTAAGCCACTGCATGCTTGCTCTCAAGCTTCTTCTGGAAGCAATACAAGAATTACTTTTAAACAAGAGTTACTTGTGTAGCAAAGGCTCCCTCTTTTAAGAAACTTCTGAAGTCTTCTTATAAGAAATAAATATTTTGTAAAGCTCAAAAAGCTCTGTGTGACCCAAGATATAAACCAGGATGACCCAGATATTACCATCCCTAAGGAAAATAAGTTCTGTTTCATGTGAATTATGTCATTTCCTCTGTAGTGTCCTCTTGTATATGTTTAAATGCCAATTTTTGTGTCAACAGCTGTGAAAAAGCACAACTGTCTAGTAGATCCATGTGTATTTACCCTTCTTAATTTGTTTGGAAACTTCCATCTGGGCATTTAAATACTTAAAGGACTCTGCACGTTGATAGAGAATATTTCTGAACTCACAGTAGGCATTACTTTGAAGTTCTATGCCAACATTCACATTTGAATGTTGCAAACTGCACACTTTAAAAAGGTTTGGTCCTTCTAGCTTCCTTTTGGGGATGTTCTCAGCCTTCTCCATAAATGTTTTTGCCTTGATAGTTAGCTCATGTTCATATCAAAGCTGGGGACCTAACTCATGGACCATCAGAACTCTCAAACTCAGTAACTGTCATCGTGTTGTCTTTGTCTGATTATACTTAATCACAGCTTGGGCTGTGGATAGCAAAGACAAAAGTGGTTCTTGCTCCAAATTATTTCCTGCTCTTGATGAAGAAATGTCACCTGTTCAAGCTTGATTTTACTTCAATGCTTCCTTCAGCTTTTGTCTCACCATTACAGCTGTGGCATGCCACGCTCTTAAGGAGTTGTATTTCTCAGTCACTAAATCCCCATTAAAGAGAAGGGTGGAAGTGAAAGAAGAGGGAGAGGAAAGGGAGTGATAACTTCTGGAAGCCATTGACTGGCATAAGCTGCTTTACCTGTCTGAAGTGCTTGCATTTCTTTCAAAGCATTTACTTCTCGCCACAACTTGTCAATCTGGGTCTTTAGGTCATCTTTTTCTTAAATAAAAGAAATATAGGGAAATGAACAGATATGCATTAAAAAAAATAGTTTAATTGTGTGTTAAAAGCTATTTTGAAATGTCATGAATTTCTGCATTGATGAGATCTTTTTTTTCCCCTAAAGACTTTTTCTTAATGAAAGGGTTCTTGTAGGGTTCCTAGAAAAAGCAGGAGGAACCCACCTTTACCTTTCACCATTATAGTTTAAATCTCATTTTCAGTTGGATTGTGTCCTAGTGACTGTTTGAAAGTCATGGATTGTTGCAGCTAACTGTTGTTTAATGTGCCAGCATCTAATTTACAATAGAATTTCCCTATTTAATTTGAACAAGTACACCATGGTGTATATATGACATACAAATAACAGTAGGACAGGAGTTGTGTTTATTCAAAGAAATATTTCTGTGAGCATAGAACTCTTCCAACTCTCCTTTTTAACAGTGAGGAACAACTAACATAATCCAACCTCAGTCTAAATCTATGTGGACAAGCTTGTCGAGCTCCAGTTGTCCCTCTTGAGGAGGAGCCTTCCTCTCTCCATTAATAGGGAGACAGACTGGTGACTTTAATACAAATTCAGCCTGAATCACCACCACTTACAGGAGCACTAAGAAGATGAGGGGACAAGAAAAGAAACTAGTTTGCACATAACTTCATTTTCCTGTCATCTTTTCTTGTTTCTTAATCATTATAATATTCCAGCACCATCAAACATCTAGCAGGCATGTTTCCATTGCACAAGATGACCATTTCATTGCAGCAGTAACCAGACCTTCCAGAAGCCACAGTAATGAACATGAAGAATAAAGAAACTTTCACGTGTAGCAGGACTAACAAAACCATAGTTGCTGCTGATCTGTGTTATGTCACCTAATCCCCTAGCTTCACCCCAGAAAGCTCATCTCTTCCCCATATTCCCTATTGCCTGTAGGGATAAGCCCAGCTGTCCTTTGTGATTCCCTAGTTCCCCAAGGCAGGACTTCTTCAATCCATGCTCCTCACTGGGAGCCTCATTTCACAGCAGCCTGTCTGTGTCTCCTGCCTGCATGAAAAGAGGCAAAAAGCAGAACAAGCTGAGCTCCTGGTGCAACCTTTGCATAGTGGAACACTAATGAAAGTCTGTTTTTGCACCCTCTTTCAGAATTTCACAAAATATTGGGAAACCTATTCTGAAGAGCTTCATTCTTCTGTCAAATTGTTTCAGCTTCTAAAGTAATGGAAGGCTGATAGACAAATGTACTGGCAAAACAAATGTCTAGGCAGACTGTCCTTAGGACACCAGGCTAAAAACTGTAGTGATTCCCCAGGGGAAGGCAGTGTGGGTGCAGCTGGAGCTCCAGAGCAGTGTAATCATGTCATACAATGGCTCTATCAAAGCTGCCTTTTTTCATTGACTAGGAGTTTAAATATTTGCCATTAGAGTAACCTCTATCATATCCTCTTTTAGTAGAGATAAGTCTTTAAATTAAATACACAGACATTTCCAAACAACATTCAGAGGTTCTTTATTTGCTCTGTAAGCTTTGCTCTGGGAATTTATGCTTTATCTTCTGCTAATTCTTTTTCATTAGTTTGACTTGCCTTTTCACAGTACTTGTCACATAAGTAATGCTCCACAGATATTAAACAGACATTCTGGTAAAATTAAGAAATTGTAAAAAAATCTGAACAATAGTCTCTTAGAGACTGAATATTTTTTCCTGTTCTTTTCCACCATACATACATGAATTTCCTTTCCTATGACCTTAGTCTATGTAACTAAGAGTGATTGGCCAGAGTCCTCTTTCTGTTAGTGAAAATTAATCACTAGCTGAGTGCTAATTAATGTTGGCAGAGATCAACAGGCATAAGAGAGCAATATATTTACCACTGCTCTGCAGCTCTAATTCCATAACTTGTACTACCACCTTATTTTTAGCTTTGCTAACTCACTTTAAAATATTTTAAAGACACATAATATAGACTCAACTGTCATTTGTTAATAAGCATTTGTGTAATGTTATGTTCTGATTCATGCAATGTTATTTAAATACACAGTAAAACTGCAAAAACTGTAAGCTTCTATCCCTCCTCCCCGTTAAAACCAGTACCTTTCACTCTGCGTTTACTGTGCTTCCTGGCTTTGAATTTGGAAGTCTGGCTGATGGTCTGATCCAGCAGTAGCATGCTTATAAGTAGAAAAATCATAAGTCCAGTTTGTGCCATGTCTCTTCTAAGGAACGCAGCAAGAAGCTTCAAGAGATTCTCTCTAGCAGCTCTGAGAGCAAGTCACACAGACACATCTCAGTAGGCACTGCCTGAGGTCAGCTTTATAAAAGGGTAGAGGTAGTGCTGGCTGCACTCCTTGCCTACGAAATGTGTTTAATACTGAAGCTGGCTGTAGCATAAGGCACCTCCTTGTTCTCACATCTCATCTGAAATTCCTGTTTCTGTTTTGAGTTCAGCTGGGACAGGTTGCTTTTACAGAGGCTGTACCAGCACTGAACAGTGCACTGATTGCTGTTAATGAGTGCTCTATCTCCTGTCTTAACTCTGAAGCCAAAATGTGTGGAAAAGCAGAGGGATGCTCAAAAACATCTTGTGCAATGCCAGCCTCAAGGAGGGGTAGCCAAAAGATTTCTACAAGTACAACAGACTTGCCCATCGTGGTGCTGACCCCAGCTGGCTAAGCCATGACAATGGTCATGACCCCATTTACATTGAAACAAACAAAACAATTTACTCACACCTGAGTAAATGCATATGTTGCAGCTACACACACCCCAAAATATGTACGTGGAGTAAGATTACATCATGTGTGAGAAGTATATTTATTAATTTATAGAGGGTTAGTAAATACCTAATAGATATGACTGCATTTCAGAGTGAGAACAGTATGTGCTATCAGCAGGGTCTAGTCAGGGGACCAAAAGAGAGCCATACTCTTCTGAAGGTCCCCGAAGCCCTGATTAGATGGTCAGAGGAAGAGATGCTGATCTCAGCAAAGCACAAGGTGCTTGAAGCAGGACAGTGTCTCTCCAGACTCTGAAGAGCTCTCTGCATTTGGAGCTCTTTCATTTGCCCTCAGGCTCTGTTGACTTTTGTGGGGCTGCCTTTTAATTTGGATTGCTGTAAGTAGTAGCAAGTAGTGTCACTGACTTTGGTGGATAAATGAAATTGTCACAATAATCTGCTCATCCATTACACTCTTCAGTAAGAGAGAGTTTGTTCAAAATGCTGACACTGAAGCCATCACTAGGTGGTGGGGAGCTGGCAGGTGTGGTACGTGCTCCTCAGAGCTGTTGTTCCAGATATCTTTGCCATCTCTGTAGCGGTTACATTCTGTTTGTGTTGCCAGATTTCTTCAGGCTGTACCAGCAAGAGACATCACTTTATTAAATCAAAACTGAGATTTAGGAATGTGCTTTTAGACTGCATGAGTGCGTAGTAGTTTTTCCACCCCTCACATACAGTTCAAAAGCTCTTCAGGATTTAGATGGTGTAGGTGTGTTTTGCATTGTGTTTTGGACACCTTTAAACAACTAGCTGTATTCTAATAATCTATAAGTAAAAGCATCTATTAGTCAAACTTTTCATAAATGCATCCTGGTATGATAAAACTTGGTTTTGTTGGTTCTGTTTCAAAATGCTGAAATATCTTCCTTTGTGTAGGGAGACCCCTGAATCCACAGGTGACTGAAGCCCCCGGTGCTGTTAGGGCGCCTAGTACACCAGAGGTGGCTGTTACAGGCTCCCACCCAGCCCGGACTGTCTGACAAATGACTGTCCCAGCTGCACACTTCAGGACACAGTTAAAGGTGGAGAAGGCTGTCAGTCCAACCAGCACACCAGAAACTCATGTGAGCTGTCGGGGAGGACACCAAGGAGCTTTGCAAGTGTCTAGCTTAAGATTTAATCTGCCACTTAGAAGCAACTCCAAGTTCAGCGTGGATCCATATTTTATCCCAGTAATATTTGGGCATCAGTAGAAGTTCATTAAGGGCAGAGAGCTGAATCAAGAACTGCCTCCAGTTAGTTTTTCACCTGGTCTTTTCTCAGAGGTTGTGGAGTTGCACATGCAGCTGATCTTGAACCACTGCAGCTTGTAGCCTGGCATTAAACTTGTGCTGATTTTGGGTTACCTCAGTAAGGGAGCTGTAAGCCCCTGGAGGTGTTTCACATGGAGCTTAGCTGTCTCACTGGCTCTGAGAAAGGCAGGAGCAGCAGCTGGGGTCAGCAAGCATTTTAGTGTGCATGTCTAAGGACTCGGTACCAGCATGTATTTGTTCCTGCTCCTAGGAACTGGAGTTCTCCAGCACAGGCTTTCTTTTCTTTCTGTGAAATGAGTCTGACAGAAAAAGATTTGTACTCTACTGAAGAAACACACAACTCACTAGAAATGGAGGCACAAAGAAAACACAGATTGGGTCTTCTGAGAGCTCTTGGCCAAGAGCCTGAGTAAAAACCAGTGGTTTTTGGAGTATGCTATGTTATGCCCCTTTAAGAATGACTAAAATTCTCTCTGTTTTGAAAGCTTCATCCCTGTTTTTTTTTTTTGTAGTTTCTCTGAGCATTTTACCAGGCTACAAGTAGCTCAGCTGGACCTCACTCCTAAAACCTGAATCACAAGTCCTTGCTCCAGCCTGGAGGGTGATAATACAGCCCCATACACCAATGTATAGGTGTAATTTTTCCTGGGACACGTTATTCCACTTTCCATATCAGACTGTGCTCTACAAGTATAAATAGCATCATACCTTTATAGCTGCATCCAGAGTGGAATGGGATTGTGCTTTTGTATTTACACCAGTAGAGGAGAACTTCTGCATAGAGACAAAACTGTAGTTCCTCTCCAAGTGCTCAGTTCCCTTCAAAGCACTCTGCAAGATGTTTCTTATCAAACAAAACACTTTTAAAAGCCATAGCTGCTGTACTGTGCAGGCACTTGGTTTTATGGCTCCTGTCTCCCCACCTCATTCCATTTGCTTTCAGACAATTGAACCATTCAGAGCATGAGCATCCTTTGGTAAAAGGTTTACTTCAGTTTCTCCACAGAAGCTTTTCAGGTTAAAAAGTTTATTCTCCTCAAAGACAGTTCTACCTTTATGTGCTCCTGTAAACTGGCTCAGAAAAACTCTTCGTGCAGTTGGTTTTTCCTCTCCATTCTCAGCCATCACTGAGTTTATGGAAAGAACGTGCAACTGGGCACAGAGTATGAGACCTCGGAGTGAGATGAGGACTGGATGCTGGGCTCAGATCCTGAAATAGGTCTGACTGCAGAAGCCATTTCTTATTGTGTGAAGTAGGATCCTACATAGGGAGAGCACGTCCTTTACTTATCTCCTGAGGCAGGACAGCTACAAATAAAACACCACTTGTAAAAAATATGTTTAAAGAAAACTAATGCTTCAGTTTGAAAAGTGAACTGTTGAGAGACCTGTGACTAGTAGCCTGGCTAGCAGACTGGCTATGTTTTACTGACCTCTGCAGTCCCCACCATGCTGCAGAGCTGACTGTGTTGTGATGTGTTTGACCAAATGAGAAACTGGTGGGCTGTGTCTGCTTCTGGAATCCTAGCAAACTGGGGGCTACAAGGGGGATTGGCAGCATTTCAGCTGTGGAAAATTCAGCTCAGCATATGATTTGGAAAAAAAACTTATACATGGGTAACTCTTTGCCCCTTCTACTGAGAGCATAAAGAGAAAATTCAAACTGATCAGAGCTGTTGCCAGGCTAAGGAATTTCAAGTGGGGTGATCTGAAGAGCCAGTATAGCCAACAAAAGTAGGTAACACAAAGCTTGGTAAGAACTTGTTAAGAAGTGTCACCTCCCATGCATGTTTTTATGGCTGTCTTGGGTGGTAAATAGGATCCACTGGTTTATTTTCACTTGTTTCAATTAAAAGTTAGAAAATTTGCAAGTTATGCTGGTCATGAATCATGTGAAAAATGGAAAATTACTGTATGCTTGGTTTCCTTGGTTGTGAAAAGTCTTGCAAAGTCTTAGGGATTTGATCTTAGTCCAACCAGGTATGAGGCAGGATTATGGCTGGCATCCCAACACCGAGGTTATTTTGGGGAAATCTGTACAAATGGTGTGTTTAGAGAAGGGATGGGCTAACCTTATGGTATGTGAGGTTCTGTGAAACTTATTACTAATATTTTTGGGTTTTGCAATCAATTCAAGTTTTTTCCTCTCACGCTAATTTGCTTTCTTGGAAGGAATTTTTCTGGCTAAAAATGATCTGCTCTCTTTAGTGAAACTAAAGGAGGTTCCAGGTTTATTATACAACCAGGCTGCCCACCAGTGACCTGCACTGGAGGTCACTGAGCGTTGACATGAGGGCATTCACATCTCCTTTAGGTATGTGATGCTACTATCCCAAATCCATGTCTCACCTTGATGCTGTGGCACAGATAATGGGACTGGTCAATAAATGGGCTTCTCAAGGTGGCATTTCTCAGTTCCAGACCTAGCTGTTATTGCCTACAGGTCTGATGCTTTTCACTTCCCATGCTGTAAATGCAAGCTGCCAAAACTGAAGACATTTGAGATATAAATAATGTATGTATCAGAGCAGTATTTTGATCATCAAGAATAAGTGCTTTCTTTGTCTCCTATTTGGGGTCTTTGTCACAACAGCATCTCACAGCTGGGACTTAGCAAGCAGAGAGGAGGGTAAACAGTTTGCAAGATGCAGCAGAAAGATTTGTCTTACCTCTATCATGCATATTTAAGGCAAATAACATTATCTTGTCTATGTAACCAAACTATCTCATCTGTGCTACCTTCATTCTCTCGTAGTGATATACTGAATATAGATTCTAGGTTGCAAAGCTGAGAAAATGCTGCTCAGCAAAGTCAGAAGAGATTCAGAATTCAGAAGAGATTCACCCAACTTGCACGAAGCAACGTTAGCAAAGCCATTGCACTCTTTTTTGGGTACCTAGCCAATGCCAGTCTGCACTGATAAGTTGCCTTCTTCCAGCCTTTAGCTATCTGACAGGAAAGGCACAGTTATCAAATCCTTTTTACATCAGGCCTTTAACTGCCAAAATAAGTAGGTGCTCAGTGTTTTGCTTGCCTTCTTTAGGCAGGAAGGTGCCCCCCAAAAACTGGTATTTATTTAAAACAAAATGGTTTGATGGCTATGTGCAAAGAGAGCAAACCATAATCCCCCTCAAAACAGACATTTTACAGATCAGCTGACTCTGTCATCTCTAAAGATAAGGGACTTCAGGAGAAAATTTAAAGCCTTTTATTTGCAGTCCAGGTGCAAATAGAAGA